TCAGCTGTGCTGTTCCCACGCCTGCCCGTGCCTTGGCGCATGCACGCGTCCCTCTCCCCGTGGAATGACGTGGTAGCACTTGGTGCTTTGATGGTGGGTGTACTCTCCTCTATTGTGGCTCTTACCACCTTTTAACCACAGCTGTCGGCTGGTGTATACGTATCTCTGCATCGCAAGGCGTCTGCCATAGGGCTGCCCCTCCAGTACCCAGCGTGCCTGGGTGCATACATATACCCCCGGGCCTGCAGAGGAGGTGCATTGAATGGAGTTAGCTGGCTCCTTTCTCTCTTGCCTTTCTACGTCTGGGATATTGGATGCCAACATCCAGTAAGTTATGTTTGTGTTAAACATGAATTGAAATGCAATTACAGCTGGCCATGCGGTTTGAGAGCTGAGTAATAGAGTCAGCAGGAGGGTGACTTAGTCACAAGTGCCAGTTCATCTCCTTCGCTTTCTTGCTCCTGTCATTGAGCATGACTCATGACTCACCAGTTCCACTCGTCTCCTCTTAATCCCATCACTTTAACTCTTCCTGTCCTCCTCGTCCTGCTGGGTCTCTTTCAGGGCCCCTTTGTTAAAACCAGCCAGCAGCCAGAGCCCGGCCTTGCAGTCTGACTTGTTTCCTCTTATCCAGCAGGAACCTGTACCACCACTCCAGGTGGTCCATGCGGAGAGCGTGGGCAGGGGTGGAGCCAGCAGCGTGGGGCAGGGGGTGTGGGGGAGGCTGGGCCAATGCGCAGACCCGTGTCCTTCCTCAAAGCCTGGGGGAGCCAGGAAGCTACTCCCAGGACCTTGAGTTTTCACTATTTTCTTAACCATATCCTGCTAGGGCCCTGGCTACGGGGAAAACGGTGCCATTTGTCAAAGGTGTTGCCTTCGTACCTTAGACCCACGTTGTTTTCATAGGCGGATTGAACTGCATTCAGAAATGATGGCTTATAATTGGGCCGGCCTTGAGGGCTGGTGATTGGGTTTCATAGAAAACCTCCCTTGTTCTTAAGAAGGCACTCAGATGTCCTGGAGCCTCAAAGCGGGGTCTCCAGGTCTTTCAGACTGTGCCGTGCTTGTTGGTGCGCACCCTCCAGCCCCCCCTGCCCCCCCTGCGCCGGCGGGCGTGTCCTTTACACAAGCCCACTCTCCTGGGCTCGAAGGAGCTTTCCTTAAAGTCTGGAGATGGACAGAGCAGAAGAGGGGACACGTGCATTCTCCAGCAGGGCCTGTGCCTGGCACTGGGAATCGTGAATCAGAGGTGGTCCCTGTCTGCCTGTAATTTACAGACCCGTCAACAGGGAGAAAGTGAGAAAGAGGTGACACCGGGTGGAGCCCCTGTGGGTGGCTCTCTTCCTTCCCTAATGAATCCCCCAGGTGAGGTCTCACTGCTACTTCCTTCTGTCTCCGTTTTTGCTTGTTAATCCTCCTTGTGTAAATCCCTCCATTCTGTCCTCATTCTCTACCCCTTCCCACACACACCTGCTGCTGTCCCCGTTCCTAAAAACGAGGAGATGTTGCCACTGCCACCATCCTGTCACCTCCCCAGCTTCCAGCCCTGTCTTTGTCAGTAAGCCCTGCCTGCCCAGGGCTCCGACTGCCATCTCTTTGTCATTATTTTCACTCGCCCCTTGGTTCCTAACTGTCTGACTCAGTAGGTTTTTGTTTGTTTGTTTTTTCTAATTCTTGGCTTCATCTCAGCTTTGAATGCTATTGACCAATGTCTTCCTTCCTTAATGTGTTCATTTTCTGAATACAGAACTAACACATGCTCTTTGTAGACAATTGGGAAGACACAGAAAAGTGCAAGACAGAGAATAAAAGTTACAGAATCTTACCAATCAGAGGGAAAATGCTAATAACATTTTGACAGAGACGCGCATTCATTGCTTTTGCTAAAAAGTATTAGACATTTTCAACTGAAGCTCTGTGGCCAGGTTGAGCTCTCCATTCAGGATACAAAATGATACGATGCAAACAAAATCAGAACCAGAAAAACACCTGGAGTTCTTCAACTCAGCACCAGCCAGGTCGAATGGCTCTTTCCCCTTCATGGTGTTTAGAAGCACCTGGGGCTCCCCTCCTGTGGGATCCCGAGGATGGCTTCTCGGCCCCTGCCTCCCTGCGCCCGCAGGGCTCTGGTTGAGAGCTGACCTGGCTCCGTGGTTGGCCACTGACCGGCCGAGTGTGTTCCTCCGCAATGCAGGCTCTCACACATCAAGGGCCCTTTGAACTCCATTCTTATTCGTAGTGTCAGCCAGATATTTCCTTTGGAATGTCTGCAGAGTTTCCTGGCCCTATGATTGCTTTCTGTCTGCCAAGCACATCTTTGAACCGTGGGTGGGCTCTCGTAACACACCGGGGTGTGAACAGGTTGAGGAATCTGGTGGTTGGCTGTGGTCCTTCAGGAGCTTCTCTTGGGCAAAGTGCTGGCCTGGCCTGGGGCTCAGCTAGACAGCTGCTCTACAGTGTTTCTCAGGCAGATCTTCATTTCTCCCCGCATCAAATGCAGTCTTTTAAATTGTTGATTTTCTTATTATAAAAGTTAGAGTCGAAAGGCATAAACTTCCAGTTGTAAAATAATTAGGTCATGGGGATGCAATGTACAGCATTGTCTGAGGCCTGTCATTTCCATGGTGTGGACCTGTCATTTTTCTGTAGAAGTGTTAGCGGTGGTTTTCTAACTCCCAGATTTGGTGGGATTCTGTTATTCTGCTTCGGGTAGGACTTTTCCGTTCACTGTGGTGGACACTCAGGACCGGCCACTCCCCTCCCCTCCTGCCTTGCCTCCCGTTGGCCGGGTCGGAGGGCATTACACATCTTTGCTTCATTGCAGGTGAGCTGTGGCCTCAGGGCAAGGCCTGGCCTTTGGTTTGGTTGTCCGTTTATAATGCTTCTCAGAGGTCCGGGTGGAGAAGGGGGACTCTGAGGACAGGCCGGCCTGTACCCTCACTCTGCCTGCCCGGCCACTCCATCTTGTTCAAGTGTCCTCTCACTCAGACAAAGGAAAGTTCTGCCAGTGGCGGGAAGAGGGAATCGTCATTTCCAAACCCTGGCAGCAGTAGCCTGGTGTCATGCACGCCCACTCCTCCGTGGGATTTCCCGATGCAGCCCCCTCTGCCCCCGTGGGAGTGAGGACACAGCTTTCTTCCTTCTGGGCTACCGGCCTGTGGCTCCTCAGATGTCGAGGGTTCTGCAGACTTGTTTTTAATGTATTAAGAATAATGCATTTATTATAGAGAAACCAAATAGGTTTCAGGTGATATGGCATTTCTTTGTTCCTATACATTTTTTATTTTCACATTTTAGTGGTTCCAAAATTGGGATGCACCTAAAAATAGATTTGTACATTTTGATATGATACTATTTCTCTTTTTTTCTAAAGGGGTATTTCTTTAAATCTCAAGTGATCCCCAAATGACTCCATCCTAGAATTTAGGAAATACAGTAAAAGTAGAGTTTGAGAAAAAAAATCTTTCAAAACATGGGATCCCAGGAAGAAAACACACCAAAGGGGTCCTGGGTAGTGGCGAGTTGGGGCCACTGCGTTAAATCTCATGTTTTTCAAGAAACTTGATGTGTGACCGTCACGGGAACGTGCTGATGAGGTCTCATCCCGAACTAGCATCTTTCTGTGGGGACGACATCGATGGAGCGAGCGGTTCCTACATTATCCCCATACATTTCTTCCAGATTCCAGGCCACACATATTTGCATATTTAGCAGAAGTACCTTTCTCCGTCCTTTCCTTTGTAGCATTTGCTAATTGACCATTGTTGGGTTTGAAAAAAGGCATTTTCCTTTTCCTGTTTGGCTGTGGGCTTTCCTGGGGCTGCCTCTGAGAATGGCTGTGGGCTCCGGCACCCCCGCTGGTGCGTGTGACTGGGCCACTGTGCCGGGAGCTGCTCCAGTGTGGGGCTGACGCCGGCAGTGTTCTGTGTAGAGGAAGGAGATGCTCTCAGTAGTTTGTCAGCATGGCCGGGAGGTCGTCAGATCAAGGACTGCAGCCCGAGGCTACGCCTCTCAGGGACAAGCAGGGAGACACCGAGTGCACCCCGGCAGGGATGCTGCTCCCTGAGCCTTCCCGGGGGTCCCCCTGGGTGCCAGCCGAGGTGCTGGAGGCCGATGAATCCTCTGACGAGATGCTGGTAAGACTGTCGTGTTAGGCTGCCGAGCGGAGAGCAGACCCAGCCCTGCCAGGCCACCCAGGAGCTTCTGGAGGTCCCTGTCCTCCTCAGCGCCTTCCCTCTTCCTCCCATCTCATCACAAGCCCCTCCCCCAACCCCCAGCCTCACACCCGCCCCCACCCGCAGCCCGTGCACAGGTCCTGTGAGGCCCAAATCATGGCTGGCTTCGTCCTTGAACTCTCCTTAGAGGAAAATGCCTGCATCTGTACACAAGCACACGGCTTCCTAGTGAGGCTATAAGCCAGGAACTGGGTCTGCCTGGTTTTTCTAACATGATGCAGTTTCCGACCTTGAATAGCACTCGCAGAGCTGGTGCCCAGAAGATGCGCTGAGGAGCGGGTTTCCTGACACCTGCCCCGGCCCCAGTGGACCCCACTGACGAAGCACCTGGCGGGCCCCAGGGTCCTGGAGCAGGGCTGCGTCAGCCGCCCACAGCGGTGCCCTCTCAGGTGGCATTTCACACCCCATTGGACTTGTCCCTGCACCCCTACCGCCCCCGAGTGAGTGGTAATGAGCAACCTAATGTGCTGACTTCTCCAATCCCTCCTTGGTCCATTACAACAAAAGTTGCTCTTTTCTCATTAGAACCACTTTTGTCAGGGTGTCTTTAATCAATGGCTTCCCCGGGGACAGTATTTTTAGAAGTTGTGTTTTTCACACTCTCCCTTTTCCCCTTTTGGAAAATCTCTTCCCAGGGCCCAGTGAAATGAACTAATGAGATGCCATGAGAGTTCCGGCCGGTGTTAATTGGCACAGGTACGAAGAGCAGCGCGCGCGCTCCCGTTCCGCCCGCCTTACCTGCGGTCCTCTGTCTCTTTGGTGTAGGTCGCACAGACGGCAGATGGTGTGGACGCTGACCTCTGGAAAGACGGCTTGTTTAAATCCAAGGTTACCAGATACCTGTGCTTCACAAGATCATTTTCCAAAGAAAATGTAAGTCTAGTCGCGCCTTTCCGTCCGCTGAGTGAGCACGAGCCACGCATGCTCCTGCCTGAAATCTCCAGTGTCTGTGGTGGCTGGTCCCCATCACCATACTCACCCCTCTGTGGTTTCAGTGAGCGGGTAGAACCAGCAGCTCACGCTGTGCTTCACTGATGGAGAGCGTTATTAACCAGGTGCCCGGTGAACCGTGAATCCCACTGAAATGTTCTCAGGGACACCAGGAGCTTCCTCAGCAGCTCCCGTGTGCCCACCTTCCTCTGAGGAGCAAATCCCAGGTGGCGGGGACGGGAGAAGTTTCTGGCAGAGCCGGATTAAAAGCTGCCCCACACCTGGAGGCGCAGCTAGACAGGTGCTGCATGGTCGCCCCTTTCCACAGCGTCAGCCCCGGTCCCAGAATGAGTCTTTCCCCGAGTCTCTGTACGACATGGGCGTTCCATTGTGTCTGCAGGTCGGCGTTCACCAGTGCCCATTCCTGTTAGTTTTTCGTACTCGGGCCCATAAATTGGGGGATTTTTGACAATACCTGTCCAAGCTTTTCCAATAGTGTTTCAATGGGCAGCTTTGGGAGAAGGGAGCCCGCTTTCCTGAGTATGTCCCCTGCGTGGGGCCTGCCCTCGTCTTCCTGTGAATACCCCTCCCCGCTCCCAGGACAGCCGCCTGGAGCCTTCGCCCTTTCCGGAGCTCAGCGTTTGGGGCTTCTCCGAGGTCACCTTTCCTCGCCCCGAGAGGGAGCAGGTTTTCATTCTCGGGAGCCTTTTTATTTTGGGCCTTCATGTTCCTGTCTCTTTCTGATGCAAAGTTTTTTTGAAATATTTTTATTAATTTACTTTTATAAATTTTATTATAACAGTAAGCTATGTTATGGTTTAAAAAGGAAATGAAAACTGGGCTCTAGCTGGTTTGGCTCAGTGGATAGAGTGTCGGCCTGCGGAATGAAGGGTCTCGGGTTCGATTCCAGTCCAGGGCACATGCCTGGGTTGCTGGCTCAATCCCCAGGAGGAGGTGTGCAGGAGGCAGCCGATCAATGAGTCTCTCTCATCACTGATGTTTCTCTCTCTCTCTCCCTCTCCCTTCCTCTCTGAAATCAATAAAAATATGTTTTTTAAAAAAGAAAAGAAAAACAACTTTAAACATCTTCATTCAGAAGCATGAACGGGAAGAGAAACGGTCTTTCTCCCGTCACATAGCCCCACAGCGCACGGTCCGGGCCTGGGGTCCCGGCCTGTCCCTTCCGTGTTTTCTGGATGGAGACAGTCACGCGGTTCTCTGGCTGCCACTCTTCCACCTAACATTCCTGTGCTTACTGAGAAGTCTTTGGAAGGAAGATTATTCATAGCATATGCAGGGCTGGGGAGAAGCCATTGCTTTAATGCCCCCCCTAATTACGAGGGTAACGTCTGCTTGTTGTGAAGTGCAGCTTCTAATGGAGGGGGAACAGTCCTGGTGCTAAACTCCGACATCCTTTTCACCAGACAGGCCGGCAGGCGGCAGCTGCGCCGTAATGAGTCTGAGCAGGTCCCCGGGCTCACCGTGCCGCCCGAGGACACGGAGGGGCAGGTCTGCAGGCTGGTTGACGTCCCCCCTGCTCCCACTTCCCTCTGGCATCGCATTCACACAGGGCACTCCCGCCCCTTTGTGCCGGGAGTTACCTAAACCCTTTTCTGAAACGATTCATGTGTTTAACTTGTGTCAGCCCTCTTCTGTCCGCTGGCCTCTCCTTTGTGCAGAGGTCAGCGTGCTCACTGCCGCTCGGGGCTGAGGACGGACTCCGGGGACGCCCTCGCGCTGCTCAGTGGCTTCACGGTGTCATTTCTGATCTCTGCTCAGTCTTCCCCCATCTGGCCTGAGGAGGCTTCGGCTCAAAACGGTGGCCTCCCAGGACAGCCATGATCTCGTATACCACTTTTTATTGTTTGGTGTGTGTGTGTGTGTGTTGATTTCTGTCTTTGTTGCATTTCCCCCGAAGGCTGTGGGTTCTTGGTACTCTAGGCCAGAGGAGTCCCCGACCCTTCGTGTGGAGACAGCGACAAGTCTGAAGATGGCAGGTGGTGGCCTGCGCGTGCTAACTTAGGTGTCACGGGTAGACCTGCAGAGAATGCATGAGTTAGTCACCCTTCGTTGAACACTGAAGAGGTGCTCGTTGGGGGCTTCCTTTGTGTGTCTTCCTCCAGGAGGCCCAGGAGGTGGGCAGGGATGTGGGATGAGGACCAGGCTGTGGGGGGAGCTCTGCCGCTCCTTTGAAGCAGCATAGGAAATAGGTGCGTTCTGGTTTCAGAAAAAGAATGAATGGGTCCTGTGGTGACATCCAGAGGGGCCCCCGGCCGGCCAGGAGTGGACAGGAATGAGGCATAGTTTAATCTGCCGCAGCCGTCGGGCCGGCCCTGCTGTCAGGGAGGACTCGGTGTGGCATAATTTGTACGGCCGTGAAGGAGGGATGGGGATCTCAAGGCTGGACAGATTCTTAATTAGGTGACTTGAGACTCCCAATGTAGGAGTTTGGGGAGACTCCTTTGGAACTTAAATTTCCTTCCCCCAGTAATGCCATTAATACAGAAACCTGGCTTTGGAGTGACATTGCTTCCTGGGGAAGGATCGAGATTAATTGCACTTTTCATGCCCTGTACTTTCTGCATTACCTGTAATAATAATGTACATAGATTAGGTAGGGAGGATATTAAACAGAAGGATTTATGAACATTTGAATATTAAGTTGGTTATCTGTGGCTACCTTAAATGCAAGGTTGTCAAAAATAATTACAGTATACTAGCAACACTGGCTACCAGAGGCAATATAAATACCCTGAGTCAGTGCATATTGGGCCTTTGGCATGAATCATTTGCTCAACAAGGATTGGGAATACGTTCTTCATATTTATGAGGAGGAAATGAAAGGGAGCACGGGATGGGGGAGGGGAGAGGGACACTCGAAATTAATGGTGTCGCAGACCCACTGTATTAAACCCAGTGCAGCGCAGCCCCGAGCGCGGAGGGGCCCCACGCGGACTGCGGGAAGCTCTGGCAGTGCAGCTCCCGTTCGGTAGGCACGCGAGGGTTTGTGATGCCTTTAAAATGGCCACACCACCCCTGTTCTGCTTTTACGATCGGGGACATTTGTAGAGTGTGGAGGGTGAGGTCGCTAAGTGGTTTGCAGTTGACTTCCGTGAAACCCAGCTTGTCAAGCAGAAGATACCTGCAAAGGATATTGATGAACGCCCATCCATCTCCGGGGCAGGGACACATACCCAGTGTTAATTTCTCAATGCAGAAAGCAGTGATGACATGGAAACGCAGCTGCCATGAAAAAAAATGATGATCGATTAGATGAGGCAGCTCTGGAGGCAGCTCATGTCTGCGAGTTAGGCTAACAGTTCAAACCCTGCACACGGTCAGAGATGTGGTCCGCGCCCATGAGGGTCCCTAGTCCGCCTGCCGTGCTGCACTGGGCGCTGCTTCCCCGAGGCAGCCACCGAGGCAGACGAGTAGGAAGCGGTGGGCAAGCAGAGGTCTGTGAGAAGGAAATGGTTTTGTGACAACAGGCCCTGGTGTGCACGGATTCATGCACCGGTGGGGTCCCTCAGCCTGGCCTGTGCCCTCTGCAATCCGGGACCCCTCGGGGGATGTCGGAGAGCCAATTTTGGCCTGATTCCTGCAGGCCAGGCCGAGGGACCCCACCGGTGTACAAATCTGTGCACCAGGCCTCCAGTATGCATATAAGATCTTTAGTTAATCTCTTCCCACCCTCCCCACTCCCCGCCTCTCCTCTGAGATTCATCAGTCTATTCCATGTTTCCATGCCTGTGCATTGAGCATCTGCCCCCTGGTGGTCAGTGTGCATCATTGCTACCAGTCGAACAGTGGCTTAGGCTTTTATATATATGTAAATTTAAAATATATATATATATATTAAATATACTTTTAATGTTTTTATTGATAGAGTTTAGATTCATCATCCCAGCAAATCCAATCTGATTTCTGACTTTGAGCAGCCCACCCAGTTGAAAATGTACCAAAAAACATTAATTTTTTTCACCAAATAATGACTGACCACCTATTGTGTGCCAAGAACTGTGCTGGGCTTGGATTTACAGCAGTGACAGATAGTTTTGGTCCTGGTGGTTCTTAAACTCTAGGGGGGAGACAGATGTTAAATAACCTTGAAAAATGTGCCTTTATAAATTGATACGAAGGAAAATAGTGCCAAGAGAGAAGAGAGCGGAGAGTGTAGATGGAAAGAACTCCCTGAGTGGCCTTCAGAGAGCGTGTTCGTTGGCATTGGGCAGAGGGCAGGGGCTGGCGCCCATGCGCAGAGACGGACACGGGCCTGAGGAGGTGCTGTGGAGGCCAGAGTGGCGGGCTGGCCATCTGGGTGCTTGTCCAAACACAGAGCAAGGAGCCCGAGCGTGCCCAGGCGGGCGAGGTGCTTCTGGGAAATGGGCACGCAGAGTGCGTGGCTGGCATGCTGACTGGAGAGATGGGGATCAGCAGCCATCCGTCTTTCCTTAACTGGCTCTGCCGGAGCGGGGAAGTAACTGCAGATTACGCGGAAGGCTTTAATGACATCTTCGGGGTAGCCCCAGTATTGAAGTTGTGGGGTAGCTATCTTTAGAGCTCGTTTCCAGCGCGTTCACTGATAATCCTCTCTCGCAGTTACCGGGGGTGGGAGCCGTCTTCGGAAGACGTTTTTGCACTGGTTACAGCAACTGCGCACCATGGACCCCATATACCACCACTAAATAGAAGCTTTAAGAGGCCCTGGTGCGTGTCATTCTGGAAGATGTGTAATAGTGAGGCAGCAGGGCTTTTCGCTCTGTATTTTATGATTCTTGGGATTTTACAGAATGTATCTAGCAGCCGAAATGTGTGTCGATGTGCAGGCCGGCAACCACTTAGGAGTGTGGTGGGTTCTCTGTTCGGTTTAGACGCAGCTCCCCCCTCACCGCCCCCCCCCCCACGGCTGCCCCAGGGATTTGCTCTCTCTAACCTGCTGGGCCTGAGAGCTGGTCCCGGGACGTGTGCACAGCTGCCCTCTTCTGGTTATGTCTCCGGCATCTCCTGGCTGCTCGTCCGCCTAACCAAGGCGTGCCGTGTCTGAGCGAGTGCCTTTGAGGTTCTGCAGATGAAACTCCTTCCGGGGCCACTGAGTCCCCGTGTGACCGCTGGGGAACAGTGAGCGGCACCCGCCCTAACTAACCTGCTGTCGCGAAGCTGCAGGAGTCATGGTGTAAATATGCATCTCGAAGCCAAAACAGCAAACCCACCACAGGCGTGTTTGGATTAATCGTCTGTCTCTCTCCTCTTTCCTCCCAAGAGTCATTTAGGGAACGTGTTGGTGGACATGAAGCTCATTGACATCAAGGACACTCTGCCTGTGGGCTTCATCCCGATCCAGGAGACGGTGGACACACGTGAGTCACCCTTTAGTGCCGCTCATCGCAATGCCAGTTTCCTTCCGCCAGGTCTATTTTTAGATATTTTTTGTGTGCATTTTTCTTTGGAAATATTTTAGGAGTCCCTACTGCTTGCCCATGAATAAGCTCGTGTCTGACTCAGTTCTCCCAGGAGTTGGTAGCGTTCCGGTTAGCACCCTGTAAGTGGGCCGAATGTCCTTTTCCCCCAGAGCGGGCTTCCTGCTGAGCTGGTCGCTCAGGAATGGATGGAGAGGCGGGTGGTAGTTCGTCCTCAGTGCATCCTCTGCGCTGCTGAAGCCAAGCTTGGCAAAGACCCAGGTGCAAAAGGGAAAAATCAGAAGATGCCCAGGGAATACAAGTGCACTACTGTCCCCATTTGGGGCTCTGGGAGCTCACGAGAAAGGCCAGAGCCAGGAAGACTGCCATCAGAGGACACAGGATTCCGTGTGACCCTGAGCAGAACTGAGCAGAGAGTCACTGACAAGCCAGAAGCTTCTTCAGGGCCCGTCATGCACATGAGCTGTCATGCAGCGCCAGGAAACCTCGGTGTATTTGAGTCGCCTCATTTTGATGTGAAATAACTTGTTTTATTTTTAATTACTCTTACCAACTAACTTTAGGATGCCCACACCGTGAAGCAGTAAAATAAAAATGAACACAGGGACTCCTTTATGACACGTGATTTCTCTGTGAAGTTCTGTGTCTCATTCTGCGTCATACATATTTGAGTTTTCCATATTTAGCCCCATTGGGACCCACTATTTTTGCTGGGTTTTTACTAGCATTTCATGTAGACCAGACTTTTCATATCTGCAGAGGCCAACTGTATAGTAAAATATTCTTACAACTCAGTTAAACAAAGACAACCACTGCGTAGCATATTTTCATTTTCTTAATAGTCTCCTCACTTTAGGACATTGTGCTATTACTTGCTTGTAATTATATGCATTAGTTAATAATTATAATAGCTGATATTTAGTATGTATTTTCTGTATGCTAACCCCTGTGATAAATGCTCTACATACCTGATATCATTGAATCTTCAGAGACCTCTCTTTGGAAAGGGATATTCTTGAACCCAGTTCACATCTGCGATAAGTGAGACTCAGTAACTGCTTAGGGGTTAAAGAATTTACCCAAGGCCGGGCCCCTCGGAGTGGGGAGCAACTAGAACACACACGAGTCTGACACCAGCCACACTTCTAACCACAGTGCCACTCTGCAAAAGCATGTGTTGAAGCACCTTTTACAAAAAGGTTTTATATATTTATGTATCGGGGGGTTTGGTAACAGCTTTATTGGATATACCAGTCGTTCACACACCATACAGTTTACCCATTAAAGCATACAGTTTAGAGGTTTTTAGTATTATTCACAGAGTTTGCAAGCATTGCCATCAGTTTTAGAATATTTCATCCCCTCCCCAAGAATCCCAGCCCCATTAGCAGTCACTCTCCGTTTCTCCCCACCCCTCACCTTTGCACCCGCACTAGCCCCAGGCAGGCACCCACCTGCTCTGTAGATGTGCCTGTTCAGGACATTTCATGTAAGTGGAATCGTGCAGCATGTGGTCTTTCGTGATCAGCTCCTTTTCCTGAGCATATGTTTTCAAGGTTCCTCCGTGTTGCAGCATCCATCAGTACCTCATTCCTTTTTATCGCCAAGTAATCCGCCATTTATATGGATAAACTACATTTTGCATATCCATCCAATTGATGGATGTTTGGGTAGTTTCTGCTTTTGGCTGTTGTGAATAGTGCTGCTATGAGCATTCATGTACAGGTTTTTGTGTGGACATATGTTTTCGTTTCTCTTAGGTGTCTACTAGGCATGGGATGGCTGGTCCTATTCTAACTCTATTTAACTTTCTGAGGAACCGCCACACTGTTTCTGAAGGAGCAGCACTGTCTTCCCTTCCCACCTGCAGTGCGCGCGGGTCCGGCTTCGGCACAGCTTCCCCAGCACGTGTCGCTGTCCTTGATTCCAGCCGTCTCAGTGGGGAGAAGGGGTCTCTCGTGGTTTCGGTGTGTGTTTCCCTGTTAGTTAATGATGCTGGGCATCTTTGCATGTGCTTGTTGGCCGTGGGTGTGTCTTCTCTGGAGAAAGGTCTCTTCTGATCCTTTGCCATTTTAAAGTGGGTTGTCTTTGTTTAACTGAGTTGTAAGAATATTTTAATATACAGTTGACCCTTGAACAACATGGGTTTGGACTGGGTGGGTCCAGTTATACCCAGATTTTTTTTTCAGTAAGTACTGTAACCATATTTTCTTTTTTCTAGCTTACTTTATTGTAAGGATACAGTGTACAATACATATAACATACAAAATATGTATTAATTGACTGTATATGTTATTGGCAAGGCTTCCAGTCAACAGTAAGCTATTAGTAGTTATATTTTGGGGGAGTCAAAAGTTATACCTGGATTTTTTATTATGTGGGGGATTGGTGCCCCTATCCCCTGGGTTTTTCAGGGTTTAACCGTATTCTAGATGTAAGTACTTTATTATATGGTTTGCAATATTTTCTCCCATTTTGTGGGGGTTTTTTTCCCCACTTTCTTGTTGTCCTTCAAAAAGTTTTTTATTTTGATGGAATCCATTTACCTTTTTTTTTTTTTGGCTTATGCTTTTGGTAATATACCCAAGAAATCATTGCCTAAATCAAGGTCACCAAGATTCATGCCTATGTTTTCTCCTAAGAGATTTATAGTTTTAACTCTTACATTTATGTCTTCAATCCATTTTGAGTTAATTTTTGTGAATGGTGTGAGATAGGGGTCCAACTTCATTCTTGTGCATGTGAATTTCCAGTTGAATAACCGTTCTTTCCTCCCCTGGCTTGTCTTGGCGTCCTTGTTGAACGTCAGTTGACCGTAACTGCGCGAGTTTGTTTCTGGACCCTGATTCTTCCATCGATCTATATGTCTTTCCTTATGCCAGTCGTGATTGATTACTGTAGCTTTGTAGCAGGTTTTGAAACTATGAGTCCTCCAACTTTATTCTTCTTTTCCAAGATGATCTGACTATTCTGGGTCCCTGGAATTTTCATATAAATTTTAGGATTTGTCGGTTTCTGCAAAGAAGCCAGCTGGGATTTTGATAGGAATGATGTTGAGTCTGTAGGTCAGTTTGGGTGTGTACAGATTTTGAAGGATTTCCTTGTGATAGGTTCCCAAGTACTTGAGCCTGCTGGGTCCTCGGCCTCTGTGGTCTGCCCAGCCTTCCTCCACAAGGTGTTCCTCATATTCAGACACCCTCTACTTCACCCAAACCGAGCCACGTGCTGCGCGCTCTGCAGGCTCCTTTCTTTGCTGACTACATATTTGCTACTGTTTTCCTTGCCTGAAATGCCTCTTCCCTCAACTCAGAATGCCCACACCCCAGATCTTTCTGGCTGAGCCAAAGTCCTCCCACCTGCATCCGGCAGTCTCTGGTCCCTACACACCAGTGTGAGGCAAGCTCTCTCCTCTCCACAGTCAGCAAAGATTAGTGGGTGCCTGTGGCACTGCAGGCTTCGGGATGTGAAGGTGACGAAGATACGGCCCTTTCCACAAGGACCTAGTCTAGTGGGTGACCTTCGCGTGGCAACAAGAAGCACGCACCGAGCCAGGGCTCACCAGTCGGAGGCCAGGTCCCCGTCCGCCTTCTTAGTGCACACACTAAGCCGTGCGAGTCCGTGTGGGAAGCCGAAGGGCGTGATTCTGCCTCTGAATTCCCATCGTTACCTCCACGAGGACGAAGTGCAGCGTGGCCTGTGGAGAACTTGGGCTGTGGAGTCGAGTCGCCTGATACTGAGTCTGGCTTTGCACTTACAACTACAGGACTTCACCCTCCTGGGCCAGTTTCCTCATCTGTAAAATGGGGAGGGGGGTTTTATCTACCTCATAATGTTTCTAGCTGCATTTTAGCCATTTATGTGTTTTCTTCATGTCTTTGCTACTTATCTCTTCCTTTGAGGGCAAGATCTGTGTTTAATTCATCTTTGAATTGCCTAAGGCAGCGGTTGCCAACCGGTGGTCCGCGGACCACTGGTGGTCCATGAGGTCCGAAAGGTTGGCGACCACTGGCCTAAGGTACCCATTGCACACAGTGCCATGCTCGGAGGATGGGCTCAATAAAGATAAGCGTTATTACTCTCTGTTGCCAAAGTAACTTCCAGAAATACCGATTCACGTGCCACTAATGACACAGGTTTGTACCTGTTCTCCACAGACCTGCCAGCATAGGCTTTAAATTTTTTCCTTAGTTTTGCTATCCCAATTTTATTGAGTTTTCATCTCGTTACTTATTAGCAAGACTGAACACTTCACAAGTGTGTGCTTGCTACCTTTGCTTATTCTTAAATGGCTTCTCCGCTTGAGAACTAAAATTGCCTGTAGACTTGCGTTAATTTTCCACTCCCCCCTGCTTTTCTTCGTTTTAGAATTGGTGTTCATTTTTGACAACTAATTGACTTACAGTGTCTTTATGTTGATACTGCAGAGCCACAAGGGATTTCCCATTCTGCACTTTCCTCTCGTTGAACCAGTTCATCGAGGAAGCCCAGGGTGGGGGCCTGCCTGGGCCGCGGTGTGGCTGCTGTGGGGTGAGCCTGGGCCGAGATTCGGGGCAGGCAGCCTCTCCCTGTGACGGGGGCACAGTTGCTGTGCCGTGGACTTTCTGAGGTTTTCCAGGCCTCTCCACCAGGTGTCTTACCTCACAAGGCGGGTGGGATCGGGGTAGCCTCTTCATTTCGGGTCACACGGCCATTTCCTGGAGACTTTACCCGGGGACAGGTGTAGTTTGGGTGCATGTAAGGCCCTGATTTTACAAAGTCAGCCGAAAGGAGGAGACTCCTGTAATCAATTTAAAATACAGTTTGTTGCAATCCACATAGTACTTAGACACTGGAAGGCTGTTTGTTTTAGTAAAGTGCTGTGTCCTTTCTGTGTTCATTAGCATGACTGAACACATTTCTATTGACTCTGCATAATATATTTACTTAAAACCAGGCCCGCTGAAGCGTGTGTAATTAGTGGCTCCATGCTGTAGAGGGAGGAAGGGAGCAGAGAGCAGCGCGGCAAGAGCAAGTGAAATACCTGCATTCTCACCTGCGCTCGCGCGGGGTCTTCCACGGTGCGGGGCTGCTGTTGGGGTCTGGGTTCAGGGTCTTGTTACTCTCGGTGGTAGGTCCCATCCAGCCCTCGGTGTCCTCACCGAGGAAGAGAACCCACAGAGTCTCTGAGTTCCATCTGGCTCTTACCCCCCATCCCCCAAACAACAACACAGCACTCAGCACCTCTGATCCTTGGTAAAGTCGACGGCCGCAGGCCTGCCCTGCCCTCCTCATGCTGCTCCCTGATTTGATGCCTATTTCCTGACCCGAACAGAAAGGTCTTGAAAGTCAATGCTGAGCCCTGACTTAAACCGTGTGCTGGAGGCTTCCTTGATGACGTAAGAACGTTCATGGCTGTTCCTTATTGAGCTCGTGCGTGTGCCAGGCACGGGGCTAAGGGAAGCCTGTCCCACCCCATTTCATCCACCCGGCCACCCTCCGGGTGGGGTTTCATTCGCTCCCTTTTACAGACAGGGGGGCAGAGCTCGGAGAGATTACAGTCATGGTGTTGGGAAGTGGCAGAGGTGGGGTTTCAACCCAGGTCTGTCTGACTCATGTCTGAGTGACGCAGTTAATTGAAACTCGTGTTTAAAAACCACAGATGAGCAAACAAACACCTGGCTGGCCACCGCGGGGGCGGGGGCTGCGAGGGCGCAGACTCATCACGAAGACTCGATAAAGAATCACGTATTTATCTTGTTTTCCTAAACAACATATTCCAGAGAGACCAAGTAGTTGAAGAAAAGTTATTTTTTTATATAGAAGAATTCCAGCTAAAAATGGGGAAGGATGACAGCTTTAGAAAATCGCCACTTTGAAACCTTTAATGCAGTGGTTCTCAACCTTCCTAATGCCACGACCCTTTAATACAGTTCATCATGTTGTGGTGACCCCAACCATAAAATTATTTGCGTTGCTACTTCATAACTGTAATTTTGCTACTGTTATGAATCATAATGTAAATATCTGATATGCAGGATGTATTTTCATTGTTACAAATTGAACATAATTCAAGCATAGTGATTAATCACAAAAACAATATGTAATTATATATGTGTTTTCTGATGGTCTTAGGAGACCCCTGTGAAAGGGTCATTCGGCCCCCAAAGGGGTCGCGACCTACAGGTTGGCGACCCACAGGTTGAAAACCGCTGCTTTAATGAAATGATGGGTCTAAGCAGCAGTCGTCAGGGGAGGCGAACACTCAGAGAGTGGCTGCTGGGGACTTCATCACGGGGGACAGGCCGACACCCCCAGAAGCCGAGGGGGCGAGCTTTCTTGCCTAAAGAACCCTAACTTGCCTCTTACTGGGCCTTTATGTTGATACTGCAGCTGTAGCTGTAGCTGCCAGTTCATAGGTACAGGGGAGTGACCCAGTTTCTCCAGCACCAGCGCCCCGAAGACAGGGAGGGGGAGAGGCTGAAACAGAATAAAAGGGACTTGAGAGACCGGACAGCCACGGTCAGACAAGCCAGCAGAGAAATGACATTCTTGAGATAATGAAGGGAACTTGGACACAGACTATTTATTGGGTGATATTAGGAATTGTTGTTCATTTTCTTAAGGATGATCATGGCATGGTGATTGTGTTAAAAAAGATTGTCTGCCCCAGATGCCTACTGAGCTATCGACAGGTGACAAGACATGGTGTTAGGGATTCATCTTAAATCCTCCAGCCAGGCCACGTGGGATGACACCAGCCTGTCCATTGGGGGCAGCGTTGAAACTAGATGACAGGAACATGTGGGGTCATGCACTTCGGGGAATGTTTGAAAATTTCTACAATGAAAAGGAAAAATGAAAACAGTCCGTGTAATAACGTGTGTTCACGCGCAGGTGTGTCCATGTGCCTGTGTCTGAAGGCTGCCGCAGTGAGCAGGTGCGGCGTCTCCTCGCAGAGGTGACGCGCCCCAGGAGCCCCTCTCCGCGGGGAAAGGCTGCGCTCCGGCCCGCACACCCGGCTGCCCGCTGTGGGCCCGGGGAGGGCAGGAGGCGCAGGGCCAGCCCTTCTGTCGGGCGCTTGGAGGACCAGCCCCTTCCGCCGCCAGAAAGGGAACGTTATGGGAGACCAGTGGTTCTCAACCTTCCTAATGCCGCAACCCTTTAACACAGTTCCTCATGTCGTGGTGACCCCCAATTTCATTGTTACAGATTGAACATCATTAAAGCATAGTGATTAATCACCAAAACAATATGTAATTATATATGTGTTTTCCGATGGTCTTAGGCGACCCCTGTGAAAGGGTCGTTTGACTCTCAAAGGGGTCTCGACCCACAGGTTGAGAACCGCTGGTGTAGAGACTCACACCTTTCCTTGTTGTTCTTTCCTGCAGAGGAAGTGGCTTTTAGAAAGAAGAGGCTGTGCATTAAATTCATCCCCCGGGATTCCACGGAGGCGGCGATCTGTGACATCCGGATCATGGGCCGGACCAAGCAGGCGCCCCCGCAGTACACGTTCATTGGGTGAGTCTCCATAGCCAGGTCTCTCTCGCCTCCTCTCCCTGTGTGAGCTGCAGCCAGCCCAGACCACCACGCTATCCACCCCCCGCGCCTCAGCTCGTGCCCCTCGCCGCTCTCAGGGCCTTTCGTGGCCTTGTCCTGGTGTTAATCCTTGACGCTCTGCGGGCCTTTCCAGGTGCCCCCAAGCCCAGGGGTTCTCTCCTTTGGGACCCCTGAGCCTCGGCTCTCGGCAGTTTATTCGCCCACTGAGTTCACGGCACCTTTGTTCCATGGCCAGAGACCCTGGCAGGTGGCGACTGAGGCAAACGAAGAGTCTGCTCTCAGAGTTGTGTTCTGACAGGAGAGGCGAGCAACAAACAGGACATTAATGATGATATCATTTTAGGGAGCAACAAAAATGAGACACTACAGTGAACCAGCAGCTCCTTCAGCGAGGGGGTCAGGTGGGGAGGCTTGAGTAGAGACCTCCAGCGTAAGAAGAAGCCGCCCTGCAGAGTGTGAGAGGCAGGGCCTCTGACAGAGGAGGGGACGCCCCGTGCGAACGGGCATGGCATGTCCGGGAGCAGCGTGGCTGGCTGGGCGAGCAAGGGGGAGTCGGTGAGGGGAGGGGAGCGGCCACCAGGACCTCGTCGGACATGATCGTGGTGTGGATTTTCTCCCAGTGCACCCGATGCCAGCGGGGGGTTCTGAGTCGGGAAAATCATGCTATTTCATGACCACATGATAATTCCTTGTGCAGTTTTCTGGCTGCACGTTCGTCTTCCCTGAAGAGCTGAGGGCTGGTTCACCGGCGGCCTCAGTATCGACACGGGCCTGGCTCTGAAGCCACTTCATAAGCACCAAGTACAAGGAACCTCAGGATTTCACTCTGGGCTCTTTTGACTGTGGGTGAGAGGGAACCCAGCCCAGGCTGGCGTGAGCAAAAGGAGGCGCTTGTTGGCTGGCTGCTGTCACAGCAGAGCTCAGGGCCAGGCTGGCTCAGGGTGGCCCGAAGCAGGTGCTCGGAGAACGTCACTAGGATCTAGTTTCTCCCTCTCTCCTCCTGGCTCTGATTCCAGGGGACCCCATCCCTAGACATCTTCTCCCCAGTGAGGGAATGGTGGCCCGCTTGGTTCGCCTACTATTCCTCCAGGTTCAAGTCCCGAGGCAAAGAGCAAGTCTGAGTTCTTGATCATTCAAACAGAAGTGCCAGAACTCAGTCTCATTGGTCTTGATGGACCCTCTGGGGTCCTGTGCACCCTGACCCTGTCACTGCTGCCTGGGAAATGTTCTCTCTCCCAGGCCTGAGCCATTGGAACTCAGGGACCAAGAATGAGGGGTGGCTGCCCCCAGATGCAGAGGGGAGATAAAAAGTCAGACTGGGGAGTGAATGGATGCTGGGTGCCCTAAAGACAATAGATGTTCATTGTACTCAGTCACCCGAGACCCAGGATTTCATCGGTGTGGTGATGGTTTTCGGCCCTCAGCCGCGTGCCTCTCTCCCTGGCTGGCTCTGCAGGCATCTCGCTGGACCCCGTGGGGCCCCACGGATAAGTTCTATTGGCTTTTGAGATCGCCTCCTGGATCTGGGTCATGTTCTGTTTCTCTTCTTGTTCATTTAATCCAGACCCTCCTCTTTCCCCTGAAAGCCGGGCCTTTGCCCATCGGCCTGGCACAGGCTGGGTGACAGGCGAGCTGTGGTGTTTGCTTGAAGTGCGAGGGGAGCCGGTATCACTGAACTAGAAGTGGGGCTTGAAGTGGATTGTCGTGTAAACACCCACAATTAAATGACAAAATTAAAAAAATTTAAAGACAGAACCAAGGAAAGTGCAGTAGGAAGGCAGGAAGGCCAGCTCTGGACTGTGACACCCAGGGCCCAAGGGGGTGATGTGACCAGTCTGTGGACAACAGTTCCCTGGTGTTTGAGGCTGTGATTCTTTTAAAGGAGTTGGTTTGCTTTGTCGCTCAGGTAAATGCTTTGTGCTAAACTGCGCCATGAAGTTTTCTCTTTTCTCCTAAAGGGAACTGAACAGCATGGGGATCTGGTATCGAATGGGCAGAGTTCCAAGAAACCATGACTCATCTCAACCCACAACACCTTCCCAGTCGTCAGCTGCTTCCACCCCAGCCCCCAGCCTTCCCAGGTGAGGCCTGGTCCTGGCATCTCGTGCTGCGATGCATGTGACAGTCACGTGGTCTTGGTTTCCAGGGCACATGTTTCAGAACCCCTCCCCTCAGTATCTGCTGAAATCGTGCAGAAGCAATCTACCTTTGGAGGATGTTTTAAAATCCAATTAGAAATCTTTGCATTACTTGAATGTAAAGGCCATTGTGTATTCTGTCCTGCACACATTCTGAGGCCCCTAAAGTAGCAGCGCATGCAGCTTGAAGGGCTGGCGGCTGCACGCAGGCAGGGCCTGCAGCCCCGTGGCTGGAGCCTGGCCGGAGGAAGTTGCAGTTCCTTCTCTGCCTGGGCCAGCCACTCATTTGAAACCCAGGAGGGTTGGTAAGTAATTGTGTTCATTTTCACATTGTTCCTTTTCCCAATGAGTAGAACTAAGACATGAGCAGTTTGGGTTTGAGAGAATAGTGAGAAGTTTTTCGGGAGATGTTAGTTTTAATCATTGCTTCCACAAAGAAATTCCGGAGAGCAACCTGGGCGCTCTGCAGCCAATTTCAGTCGGAATCGAGGTGGACACGGTCTCCACTTTCTGCAAGGTGCGGGTGGGAAAGGAATCCTGTCACTAAAGAAACCTCGCATCACTAGGAGGAAATTATTTGAGGACAAGGAACAACAAACAGTGATGATGGATTAAGTTTGAGATGGGGATCACAAAAGTAAATAAAACAAGAAAGGTTTGGCGGGGCGGTGTCATTGGGGATTGATGTAACATAAATGAGGATGGATCTAGAAGCTTCTATGTGGGCGAATAGAGATGAACACAATCTGTCAGGATCAGGGCAAAATGGTCACTGGTGGGCTCCCCCTCCTGATCCACGACCCACGCCTTGCCCGTGGAGGTGCAGGGGTGGCGGGGCTGCACTGGTCTCTGAGCATCCGCCTCTCGGAAGAAGCCAGCAGCTCCGAGGGCTCCGTCCTTCAGCTCATCCTCCATAAAGACAGTCTGGGCTTTCTCCTGACAGACCACAGCCAAGAGTGGTCCTTCAGCTTAACCACCCCTGGAACCGCCTGAGACTTCAGAAGCGGTTTTCCAGTTCACTTCGCTGGGAAAAGACACAGAGAGCGAATGAGTACCAGAGGGCAGGTGGAGCAGCTGAGCGTCTCTGGTTGGTTTAGGACAGGGGTGGGGAACGTCCAGCCATGGGCCGTATAAGGCCCTCGAAATCGTTTGGTCTGGCCCTGCCAAGGCATTAGGGGTGAGTTAATGAATTAAATGTTTGCCCAAATATAGCAGGCTACTTTTAAGTTGATAATTGTTATGGCCTTCGAATGATGTTGTAAATATCCAATGGCCCTTGGCAGAAGAAAGGTCCCACCCCTGGGTTAGGAGCTCGAGGCTAATGCAGCTCAGTTCAGCGCTTGCTCACTACGCAGGGCAGGTCAGAGGTGCAATCACCATGGTCACCTGTGCTCGGGCAGCTCAGGCCCATCACCTGTGGGCGGGTTCATTTAGGCTCATCCCTGGGGTAGTTACAGCTGCTCCCTGTTGACATCATATGGCTTGGAAGGACCTAGAAACAGGCACAACCACAGGGCAGGTTTTACCTTTCTGTTGGGTAAAGAAAGTGCTGCTTCTCCCAGGGAGTTAAAGCAGGAGGCCCGGTCTCCACAGAAGGCTGCCGGTCAGTGGTGGAGCACGGTCGCTGGCCACTGAGGTGAGAGGGCCCGAGACACCCGGGGCAGCACCGGGCGGAACTGCAGGTGGTGTTTATAAGGCTTATATATTTTATAACCTCTTGTTGTATAGTTTATGGTTTACAGTGGTTGTAAGGAAATTGGATCAGTTTTGTTTTACTTGCCAAATAAAACAAATGTCAAAATAGTCAATATAAAATGTATTCTAATTTGGCTGAGTTAAGTCAGTCAGTAGGATAATTGAATGTTACAGTATTGCTTCCCAGTCAAAACCACTGTCTCTCCCAGCTCTCCACTGGCGCTGGGCGGCGGTTTACAAGCGCCTGCGCACCTGCCGAGCCTCCCGAGTCATAGGGCTTCTGTGCCTTTGATTTCTGTGTTGTTTTCTTACCCAGCGTCTTTGATAATTTTTAAAAGATGAAATGCTGATCACTTACTCAAGTTTTCCATTGAAGATTGATGAACGGATGAGTGCGTTACTTTATCCCTTGAGGCTTCAGGTCTCTCTAATCTCCCAGCAGAGGAATCTGGCAGCTTCCGCTCTCCCCTCCCCAAGCCTCAGACGTTACGCTGACCTGGCAGCCTCTTCTTCCCTTCCTGTTTCCTGCGTCTGCGTCTTTGCTCATGTGACACCTGTGCTATCAGCTCCATGCCCCCTCTCCCAGGAAGCCTTCCCCGAACACCAGGGGCTGGGCCTGGGTCTTGGCTTTCTGTTCTGAGCGCCTCTCGGCTGTTAAGCGTTCACTCTGTGCTGTGCTCATGTTGCGACCTCCTCGAGGCAGGGCTGTGTCCAGGGCTGGGATCTCCCAGCGCTCAGCGCAGGTCCAGGCAAGTACTCCGTTTTGCAGAAATGCTTCTCCATCAGCCCTAGGACCTCGTGCTGCTCTCATCCACCGCCTCCCTCCCCCCAAAAACTCCCGAGCCCCCGAGCAATCCTGGGGATTTTCTGATTATGAGAGTAAGACAGACTTGTTGAAAATTGGCAGAATACAGAAAATAACGAACACACAGAAACCCCATTTCCGTGAGCAAAGGTGCATCATTGTCATTTTTCTGTGCACTTTTTACATAGGTGATATCAGGTCATAGCAGGTTTGTGTTTTGCTGCTTCTTACTCCTGTAGTATTGAACCACAAGCATAAGAACAACTCCCTCAAGCCTGGTCTTTGTGTGAACCAAGGATCAGGTTGCAAAGCCTAGGCTGGAGTGAGAGTGTGGTGATGCAGCGCCCTCTACCGGCCAAACGTGGAGGCGGCGGCGGCGCGGAGGCCTGGCCGCTGGTTCCTGAGCACTGGGCGTCGGGCCGTTTCCCCAGCAAATCCCTTGTGGGGCCTGGAAGGGAACGAGGGAGCAGGGCCAGGAGCAGACCGCATTGCTTTCTTGAGCTCCAGGCTTCGTCTCAAAAGTTAAAATCGTGTTGCTCTACCCCTATTTCTTATGTTGTCACTCATATTGAAAAGAATTCCCTGCCGTTTCTTGGTGAGCTCTGATCTCCAGCTTAATTCAGACAAAAGGGGCAGTTGGTGGGCCTCTCCAGGAAGAGGGGGTCATCACCTGAGGGCCTCATGGTCCCAGCAGAGCTGCCTTCTCGCTCCGGAGGCCGGGGCTGCCCAGGACGGGTGCTTTCTGCCCGCGTCCTTCCTGTGGCTACGACAGTGCCAGTCCTGGGCCAGAGACCGCGCTGTCCTTTCATGGTGGGCCTGCGGAGACCGGAGACGGAGGCTGCCCCCTGGCTGTATCCACTGAGTTGGACGCAGTGTTTGGTGACGTTTGTGGCAAAAGGCGGGATTCGGTCTTGGCAGAGCTGCTCTTCCTCAGTCAGCGACTCTCTCTCACTCATCTCCGCACATGTTTCTGAGCTTCCAAGTGGAGAAGGTGATGCCGCCTCTCCCAGGAGCTCGGAGCCTCTGTTTCCTCTCTGGGCATCAGCCCCCACCCCCTCCCCCCCCAGTGGGCTGAGGCACCCCTTCTCTTCTGGGCAGGCCTGAGCTCTGCAAGTCCGCCGCCGCCGGTGCAGGCCTTTCCAATTCTCTTCTGTGCCGCTGCCTGGGGGCCGGTGCAGATGGGGACGCACCTTCCAGCTTCAACCAGGTCAGCCCTCCACTCCTCTCATGCACAGGGCCTCACCCACGATTCTGCTGGGGAGAGAAGGTTCCGCCGCTGCCGGCGCCAAGGTGTGGAGGCTTTCTGGGAGGCGGGTGCATTCACCGTGAAGGAGTCCCCGTCGCCCTGGGGTGTGGGTGAGGGGATGGTCTGTGTCCTCCCAGCTTGGCCCTGGTGCACTGCACCGCCCGGCTGCTCAGCTGCAGAGCCAGTGGCTTGATCAGACCTCAGAAGCCTGTGGATCAAATGTGTAGAGGACACAGAGTTGTTGGGGAGCTGAAGTTCTGAGTGACAGCCGATCCTCCACCACTCGCTCCTCAGCCGGAGCCCCGCGGCCAGGAGATGAGAGGTGACGGGCAGGCACGGACGGGCCTCTGAGGAGACTTGGCTTAGCAGCGGTGTGAACGACCGGGCATGCGCCTGGGTGTGTGGAGTGCAGCCTGGTGTGCGCAGCGGGCACGTCCGTTAGGCACTGCCCCACGCCTCTGCCTCTGCTGGGAAGGTCGCGTCACCTGCACGCACACCTCGGGAAGGCCGCCGCCTCCAGCGCTGCCCGAGTATGAGGCCTCGCTGCACTCAGACCTGGTGGAGGGAGGCACGGCAGCTGGCTGTGGGGGTTTGCATGGTCGTTGCGAAGGAGGTTTAAACATGGAGGAGATGTCAGTGGTGTTTCCAGGTGGGGAGGGGTCATTGAAAGCCCCAGAGGCAAAATTCGATCAGGAAGTTAGAAGGCGGTAGATCTGCGCTTAACATTTTAAAAAATGAGCAAAGGAAACCTCCCCAAAGTAAAAACTGCTTGGCCTCGGAGAAGCCGACTTCAGGGGGGTGAGTTCCCAGCTGCTGGCATCAGTCAGACAGCCTCTGGGTTCCGCAGACGTTACGCGATGTCATATTCCCTGCCCCCACGCTCAGAAGTTCAGGCTCAGGAGACCATGTTAGGGTCGCACACACGTTGCCAAGGGGCCTCGGGAGCTCTGTGGGCGGGGAGGGTGCCGAGCAGTAGGTGTCTGTCCCCGAGGTCTGCTCACCCGACTTGTAGCCGTCACCTTCTGAGGTCCCAGAGCCGGTGTCAGAGGAGGCCAGGATGACCGCAGAGTGACTGCCTGACCCTCACCACGGCCCGGCCCAGCCTGGGCACCCGAGAGCTCGTCCCTTTCCGAGTCCATCTGAAATATGCAGTCCGGACTCGAGCGCTGGAATTCTCAGGACACCTCGTGTTTATGT